TCCCCAGAAACAAAATCGCTTTTCTTTGACTCTAATACTTCTGCTGGACTCTGGCATTTTTAATAATTTCAAGTTGCATCATGTTCATCAAGTTGCAGATGTGAAAACCCAAAGTTACCCTTGAGTTAATTCTGACTTACAGCGACCCCCTTGTGTACCAGGATACACCTGTGCTTTATAAGATTTTCCATAGCAGATTTTCCAAAAATGGGACTTTGACCCCAAAGTCTAAACTTTAGTACTTAGTCTTTTGATGCCCTCAGCAACCACATGCCTAACACATAATAGGAGAGAAATGTGTGTGCAAGAGAATGTTGAGTGGGCTATTTCCTCTTGTCTAGGGAATCTTGTTAAGTCACATATTTGAGGACAAAGGAAGGTAGTAAGAGGTAAGGTCATGCAAAGAGAGATGACAGAGGTAGTTCCATAGTACTACTCAGAGAAATCTACATAGATATGTCCCCCTGCTACCACAAAGATTGCCAAGAGATCCTTTAAGGAGACTTTGTGGGACTAGCAAGAACTGTTTTGTTGTGCTTTGTGTTTTTGCCCCCACTAACACCCCGTCAAATGAGGTCTTAAGAAGACTCTAGGAGAGATTGGAAGTGACTTTCAGATGGGAGATTAGCCTCAATCGCTTCCCTGTTGCAATCCCAGAGGAGAGTGGACTGCAGTGCCCTGGTGGCATAGTGGTTACCTGTATTGTTAAGTACTAATGAGTCAGTTCCGACTCATAATGACGGTGTTAGCTAGGGTTCTGTGTGCTAACACAGCACCTGTAAGAAGATATGGGTAGAGTTTAACCTGTCAATAAGGCCACAGATTGATGACCTCCTTTGGAGGTGCGACCGAGACAAATGGCTCTCTGGAGGCGCCCAGCCCTCTCTCTGCCTTCATCTTCCTCTTGATAAGCCATGCTGAGACCTGTACCCGATCTGTGATGTGGCCACTGCCACACAACTCTGCACCCACTGGCCTGTGATCTTCCTGCACTCTGCATCATTCCATGTGGCTACGTGAGTTTGAAGAGGGACTTATGACTAGTATCGGACTTATGGACTTGAGTTGGACTGGGTTGGGCTGTTTTGTTTATGCACAATTACTTCTTGATAGAAAACTCTTTTTTATACATAGACGAGTGTCTCTGGATTTGTTTCCATAGTCAAGCCATCCTAACACAATGCCTATGTATAAGAGATGACTTAATACTGTGAAACTCACTACTATGGAGTCAATACCAACTCAGAGTGACCCTATAGGACAAAGTAGAATTGCCCCATTGAGTTTCCGATGCTTTAGAAAACTCTTTCTCCCACAGAGTGGCTGGTGGTTTCGAACTTCCAACCTTGCCTATCACAGCCCAACGTGGAACCAGTATGCCAGCAGGGAACCCTAGAGGAAATTTTAATACTGTGAAAATATCCGTATTACCTAAAGCAATCTATAAATATAACAAAATTCCAATCTAAATTCCAATCTCTTCCAACTCATAGCGACCCTAAGTACAGAGAATTTGAATGCCATAACTGAAGTAAAGAGGTCTTTATATTTGTTGCTCTCCTCTCTCAGAAGCAGGGACAAAGAGTAAGTACTTCAGAGAAAGAAAAGAAGAGACAATGACCTTCTACCACTGTTTGCTCCAAGCGATAGGTCAGGCCCAAGCTAGTGGGAAGAAAAAAGCTTTGAATTGGATTAAACCATTGAATGCTCCTTTCGAATAGCTGGATTTTTCCATTTACAAATGAGATCATTTAATTCCTGGAATTGACCAGGAAATGAGGGGGCTTTGGAATCACTGAGACTGGAGAGAAATGAACTGAGTGTGTTTGAAAGCAGAGGGTTTTCAAAAAGGGAAAGAAAAGCTGTTTCCTGATTCCAACTGGCCTTCACTGGTCTCTCCTAAGTTCAGTTCACTTGCTGAACCAGCTACACACCTGTGAAGTCATCATTTGGGCAAAGGCTGGAATTCCAAGAGGATGCTCTGCTTCGGAGCTATCAGCCTGCTGAGGACTGTTCCTCTCGGCGATAGCGATGGTGTGTCCTAGTCATCCTGCCTATGCTACTGCGCACGCTCAGAGGAGAGGCAGCATTACGCTGAATGACCCGAAGGTCCACAGGCTATTGCCATAGGAAAGCACAAAGTGGACACACAGGTAGGCTAATCCCTAGCCAGTATTATAGAATTCAATATATAAGAGCTGAAAAAATAACTTGCTTAAGATGATATTGTAATTCTGATGTCAAGGCTAGAATTACCCATGTTTTTGGATTCCTAATCAAATAGTCTACCTGATTCTGGTCTCACTGTCTCCAAGGGTAAGCTTGTCATCTCAAGAGGAGAACCAGGTGATACAGAAAGAGAACTCCCAGGTGCTTATGATATGCCATGTACATGTACTGGGCTATCCACTTTACCGACATCAGTGTTTCTGACGTTTGCACAACCATCCCATCAGCATGTCTCATATTAAGGAAATGTTTGCTTTACCACTAACTTGCCAGAGCTGTGAGAGGTAGAAAAGAATATGTCAACTTTATTTTTATACAATGCCTCTTGGCTTATCTCTTGGAGTATGAACCATGTACATAAGTGAATCATACACATTGCATATAAATAGCCAACACAGAAGACATCTTATGTTGCTGTTGTTGTCGATGTCCAGTTCAGTTCCCACTCAGCAACCCTGGAGCAGAACGAAGCACTGCCCAGCCCAGCACCACCCTCCTAATTGTTGGTATGTGTGAGCCCATTGTGAGCCACTGGGTCCATCCTTCTTGTTGAGAGTCTTCTTTTTGTTTTTTTAATTTGGTTAGGGTTTATTTTTCTTTCTTTTTTTTAAAAACATTTTATTAGGGGCTCATACAACTGTTATCGCAATCCATACTCACATCAATTGTGTAAAGCGCATTTGTACAACATTCTCAAAACATTTTCTCTCAACTTAAACCCCTGACATTAGGTCCTCATTTTTCCCCTCCCTCCCAGCTCCCCCCTCCCTCATGAGCCCTTGATAGTTTATAAATGGGTATTTTGTCATATCTTGCCCTTCGGGCCATCTGCTTTGCCAAGCAAGATGTCCTTTGAGGATTGGCCCCTCCTGATAACATGTTCAAAGCACGTGAGATGAAGTCTTCCCATCTAGGCTTCTAAGGATCATTCTTCAAACAATATCACTGATTATCCAGCAATGTAAATCTTAATAAAATGTCAGGCAAAATACTTAGATTGGCTATGAAGAGACGGTTCTACCCTAAGAATCAAAATTGATATTGCCTATATCTGTGACTGATGCAGAGATCTAAATTCAACATAGGGAATGTCATGATAAAGTATTCCAATATCAGTTTCATGTTATAAGATGCTACATGAAATTCTCAAGGTTATTAATATCCTGTATTTTGAGATGTTTTATCTGCTATTTTTATTTATTATATTTATTCGACTGCAATAAACTGTTAACATTGTTCTCACACGTCAAAGACTTAGCAAAACTGGTTTCATGTCAACAGGCAGCATAGCTGAAAAATGATCTTTGGGTTTTAAATTCTCCCTTTCTGTATTTCTTGTGTATTTTCTATCAAGCACAAACCTATAAGAACTCAAAATACATTGGCAATCTTATAAGGCTAAGACCTCTTTTCTAGCATGATATTATAACGCTAAGTGTAGGGTCTTCTGGTCTCAATTCACCCCCAGTACCATTGGCAAAAAATCCACGCACGATCAGATTTTAGTCATGAGAGGACATCTTTCTCAGAAAAACTTACTTGTGAACTTATGTAGTTTTATTTTGGGTTTGTAGAATTTCATTTTGGTTCACAGTCAATGCTCAGGGAAGCAGCAGTCAAGAAACTAAAAAATCCATTGCATCGGACACGTTCGCAGCACAAGACCTCTCTAACGTGTCAGAGAGCAAGGCTATCACTTTGAGAATCAAAGCATGCCTGACCCAAGTCAGGGTATTTTCCATCATGCATATGCATGTGGAAGTTGGACAGTGAGTAAGCAAGACCCGAGAAGAATCAATGCATTATGGTCCTGGAGAAGAAAGTTGATAGACTGCTGGAAGAACAAACAGATCTTTCTTGGAAGAAGTACAGCCAGAAGCAAGTGGATGGTGAGTCTTGGTCTTGTGTCCTTCGGACATGTTATCAGAAGAGATCAGTCAGAAGTCATCACCATCCTTAGTAAAGTAGAAGGGCAGAGGAAGGCTGCGAAGGGGACACATTAACACAGTGATTGCAACAACGAGCTCAAACATAGCAACCATAATGAGGGTGGGCCAGGACCGGACAGTGCTTCATTCTGATGTACAGAGGGTGGCTCTGAGTTGGAGCCGGCTCCATAGCCTCTAACAAAACAACAGCAAGTGCATGGGTAAATACAAATTGTAGTTTACTTTGCTAAAGAGCTTACTTGTTAAGCAGACCATCAACGTAATAGCAACATCTTGCATGAGGTATTGGTAATTTCCAAAGAGTTGCAGTTGCTGAAAAGAAAAGAAAAGTGAATAGAAGTATGGTTTCTGCCGTGCTAGAAGTTCCAATATTTTAACATTTGTTTGTTTGTTTGTTTGTAGTCCTCAGGAAGCAACAGTTGATTTTCTCTCCTCTTTATGAAGAAAAACATCCAGCCATTTACAAAAGATCACTAGCAACTCATTATATGGAATGAAATCAGATCAGATGTTCCCATGGTTTAACTTACTTTCACTTCAGCACCTAGAGTCAGCTGGGAACACCTCCCTGTGGACGCAATAATTCCAGCAGCTGCAGTCTTGACCTTGACCGCTGAATTCTAAACTTAAGATGTCAATGTCTGACAGTTCCTCTGGGGACGTCATCCACCCTCACAAATGGAATGAGAGCCCTTTAAGGAAGCAAGCCTGTTGTAGACTTCAGTCTGGCACGTCTGATTTTCAGATGTATGGAGACAGAGGCTTGGTTTAAGTTCACATCCATGGAGTTGAAATATTTATATGTTAAAGTCACATTGTTAAGTCTTTGGGAAATTGCTTTGAAATACCTTTTGTTGTCAGGCCCATGTAGCTGTGTCGTGGCTATAGACTGAACACTTAATGATACCTGGTAGTGAGCACACTACAAATCATATTTTTTGCATAAAAATATTACTGGATAGACTCATGGCCAGGAAAGTGCTGGGTGAAGTCCTTAGGGGGCACTATTACTGAAATCTAGGTCATCAGAGTGAATCGCTTCAAATTCGATGACGGTTCCGGCATCATCTATGGTGAAAGTCTGCTTTCGCTTGTTTGGAGAGGTAACAGATGGTCCCACAGTGCTCCTACCATTCCATCATTCTTCCTGCCCCCTGTATCTTTAGTTCTTGTATCCATTTCTCTTGGGGAAGTAAATGTCTATATACATTTGTAGGATGAGAGGGGGCAAGAAGTTTCCCGAGGCCACTTTAGCTTTCAGTGTAGGCACAACTCTCAGTCAACCCAACTTCTGACAGGTAGGGACAAGCATGGCCAAGGGCAAGAAAGACCTAACTTGCCCATATGCTTATTGGTGGAGGCAGAATTGAGCCATGTAGCCAAACTCCCAATTCAATTCTTATTTCACCCCACTAGCCATCACCTTATCCCTCGGTATGAGAGTCTTGTAGTCAGTAGCCCACCAGAAATCCTGTGGTCTTTTCGTGCAACTCTCCTCCCTGGCGGGAAAGCACTAAGTCCATCTCCTTCCGGAGGCGCTCCCGGAGTTCGTTGGATCCATTTGTTGTAGAGCAAGTTATCGCCGAGGAATGAAGATGACTTTGAACCTCTATGCATGTCTTCCAAATGGAGAAGCAATTCTTAAATGACTATATTTATTGTCATTTCGTTTTAAGGCATTTTAAGTCTTTTTTTAAGCATTGCTAGTCTTTACTAATGACAGCTCGTAAGTGTTAAGTTCTTGTTGGTTCAGAGGTAAAATTCCTAGTGTGTGTGTGCTTTTCTGATTTATTTATTACTTTCTAGGCCTTGAAAATCAACTTCAGTAACTTTTCTTCCTTTCATTTCTCCTTAAATTTTCTTTTGCCAAAAATGATCCCACAGTCAAGAGCCAGATTCATTTCCTGATGCGCTATATTTAGGTTACTCTGAAACCTTCTTTATTCTCTAATTGAAGAAATAGAAGCTTGGAGAGGTTACGTGTCTCAGCGTATCGGCTGAAAAGCAGCACTGTTAGAAAGGTGATCCACACCTATTTAATTCTATCACTATGTTTTCGACACAGGTATGCCAGCTCCCTAACCTTGAAGATACATACTTTGAAAAATCATATTTATTTATAAAACATTAAACATATTTGGTAGTGTCTGTATTCCAGAGAATAAACTAGTAATATAAATGCAATTAGAAATAGAAAAAGACTATTTTGGTTCATACCCAATAGAGCAGTGATGTGCCAATAAACTGGATTATGCCATACATGGTCAAGTACTTAAACACCCCAAAGGAGGAAACCAAAGCAGCTCGGCCTTCTCTGTTTAAGAAAAAGAAAGAAAGAAATGTTTAAGAAAAACAAGTAAGTCCACTTATCCGACTTTGGAACTATTTCAACAGAAATTTGATTTTAATAGCCTATTTATACTTATTTACTTAATTGTTTCTTCATGCTCTCAATGATCTTAAAGGCAGCCATTCATTCATTAATTTATTCTTTTTCTCTTTCAACAACCCTCTTACTCAGTGATTCATTCACTCCTTGAGGTGATTCTAAGAGTCAAATAGGTTATAAAATGAACCAGGCATAGTCTTTATTTTCAACAACCTTCCAGTGAAGAAGATTACACATGTATATTATAAACACAATAGAGTGTTAGGCTCAGGATTTACTCGATTGTAATTCATTTCATTCTAACCGATGAGATAATTCTCAGGAGGACCTGGGAATTATACTGCGTGGTGCTTCAGAGGTCCTGAGAGACGCAGTAGGCTGAAAGTTGCGCTGCTAACCTCAAGGTCAGCAGTTTGAAACCACCAGGGACTACAAAGGAGAAAGATGAGGCTTTCTCTGCCCATAAAGATTACAGTCTTGGAAACTCACAGGGACAGTTCTACTCTTTTTTATAGGGTCAGAATCTACTCAATGGCAGTGAGAGTGAGAGACATGACCCTAAAGTAAAGGACAGCTGTTCTCACTTTTGAAGAAATTTGAGTAAAGCTCGGGATGACATGGAATTGGTGGCTTTCCACCTTCCAGAGGAATCCAAGATAACATTTTGAACTGGAGCTAACATGGGAATCCCTTTATAGAAATTCCACTTGGGGTCATTTTCTCCCATTTCTTGCTAGGGTGGAAGACTTAGAGAGGCCAAAGAACATGATGAGAGGTAGAGCAGGCAGTGAAGGAGTAGGGAACTCGGCAAAAAAATGCCTCTTGCAGCCTCTGATGTCAAGGCAGACGCTAATGCGCAGGGGAGCCAGCCCACATCTTCTTCTGCCCAGTCCCCGTGGCCTGAACACCTGCTTTCCTCCAAGACTCTGTTGCCCTCAGTCTGTTTGTGGAGCCAGACAAGGAAGCAGTAGCTTATAAACGGGGGATGGAGGGTGGGGGGTGGGAGGGTGGTTATGACTTACTTTATGAGATGAGGCACACACTCGATGTTGGCCGTTTTTGAGGTGAAAGGTGAGGCCACAGATGCCTCCTGCTCTGACAGTGAGATGCCCGCATGAGCCATTTTCAAAGCCTGGAATGACAAATCCATGTTCCACCAGTGACTCTTCAGGCTAGGCGCAACCGAGTCAAATGCTAAGAGGCGAGTCTTCATGTCACTGAGTTCTAGAACCCTGCACTCTTTCAGCCCCAAATCTGTTTATGCTGTCTTTCAGAACAATTCTCTGTCTACAAAGGCCTGAATCCATAAAGTCATCAACTAAAGAAGCACCAATTATACAAGGATCCAGAAGCGAAAGAGCGGTGTGTGCATGAACCCACGTTGGTAGTGGGATGTGATTGTGATAAGAGAAATAGACTCATTCAAGAAGTAGATTAAAAAGAAAGAAAAAAAGACAGAATTTGGGTGGACTTTGGTGGGGGTGGGGAACACTGACACACTTCTTATTCTTAGCAGTGCATCTTTGTGAACAATGAGGTTTCCCCGGGATTGTCCCAGCACCGTGCCCATTGGAGTAGAGAGTGGATAGTATCGGCCCTGGACAGGGACCAGATGACACACAGATTCATTGTAGGATGTGTGTTGCCTGACTGAAATTTGGGCTTAATTTATTTCTCATCGAGGCTGAGACCCGTCCAGAGAACGCAGAGAGCCACCAGGGCCAACAGAGGAGGTCAGCAAGCGTCTGATTCTGTAAGAATTGTGCGAGTATAAAATGAGAATGTGCATTTTTATAGTTTTGACAAATGACAAAGTATCTAGCATCATGACTGGTTTGTAGTAGATTTGTGCTCAGAAAATAGGCAATTATTTACTTACTTCTCTTTTCTTCCTTAGGGTTTTGCATATCTATTGTATAATTTAGGTCTGCTCTATGTTAGGGTTACTTTTATACATGATTCTGCCACTCACCAGGCAGTGAGCTTTTGGGACCAAGCTTTTTGACATCTGATTTATTTATTTTCTTCTAAACTGCATGTAATTAAAGGGAACAGTGTCCCTTACAGATATTAAATAATGGACTAATGACTAAATTCTTCTCATGATGCATAAGGCAGAAAAATCACTAATAACTCTCAAGTATGAATATGGCTTTTCATGGAATTTTAGAGAAAAATATTTAAAAGGAGGAAAACAAATACCTAGATCATTGATGCTGTGCTTGCTTTATTAGTACAAAGCAACTCTCTTCACTTCTTGTCCCACAAGGTAGGTCCTAAAACATTTTTTAGCTATATAATCTTTAAAATTGACTATGGATTCAGATTTTAAAATTTAAATTATAAACCATGCACTTGCCTTTTGTCCAAATTCCAAATTCTCTGCCATTGAGCCGATGCCAACTCATAGCGACCCTAGAGAACAGGGCAGAGCTTCCCTGTGAGTTTCTGACACTGGAAGTGTTCATGAGAGCAGAAAGTTTCATCTTTCTACTACCAGAGCAGCTGTGGTTTCGAACTGCTGACCTCAGGTTAGCAGTCCAAATCATAACCCACTATGCCACTAGAGCTAGACTTCCTTCTATTACATAAGAGAAGTAATGTTTTGAGAGTACATCAATTTTAAATGTAGCTATATATGCTTAGACATTAGGTTTTGTTATAATCCATATAAACCCAATACACCGGTCCAGGATTCTATTGGATGTAAGAATTTGGGGGCATGGTCAGCTTTTAAAAACTAACACTGGTCTGGAGATTTGTTAGGAATATGTGTGATTTCTACATAATCGGACAGGTTTTAATCATCAAATTCAATTTTTCTTCCCTAAAACTTTACCAGTTGTGTAACCTCAGGCACACAGAAACCTACTTCCATGAGACTTTGATAACATGGGAAATGTACACCAGCCCGTCTCCTAAGGGTTCTGTGGCTTGGAAATACAGAAGTCTAAGAAACCCTGTCCTTTATTATTCTAAGAGGGGCAAGAAAACAGCTGAAGTCACTAACCCCACTTACTCCTCTCCACTGCCAGCCCACGCTCAGGCGGAGGTGCGTACAAGCAGCACCTTGATCAAGAGACTGCAGGGAGAAGGTTGAAGACGAGGCAGACCCCAGGGGACTGCCGTGCTCAAGAAGGAGATAGCGTGCTGCCTGCATTATTAGTAAGAGTCGTTTCTACTCACCCCACAGTCATTAGCTCCGTCTCCACACATGCCCACGTAATAACTGGAGGGGAAAGGAGAAGACAAATTAACCCCTTAATGCCCCACTTGAATAATTGTCATCATAACTAACTGGCTGTGTGTGTGTGTGTGTGTGTGTGTGTGTGTGTGTGTGTGTGTGTGTGTCCTCCTGAACACATGAGGTCAGGCTGGAGGGAAATGACTTCAGGAAAGGGAGTCGGATTCCCAAAGATATTAGGTCATGACAATGTATTATTTAAATCGATCATATTGCAGTGTTAGTGATACCACCAAGGCCGTCCACGGGGATGGTGGTCACACTTGAAAAGAAGCCCTGTCTGGCTGTGTCACCAAGGAGGAGCTGACTGTGCTCAGGCATCGTCACCGCACTCCCTCCCATAGGTTCGGGTCCAAATTGGAACCTAATCCAACAATTGCTAAGAGTTTGAGGTCCAGGCATGAGAATGAGCGACCGGGGGATGGTTTAACAGACATAACCAGATACACACACGCGTGTTTTTGATACACCTGGGAGAGGGGAATTATGTTATGCCACTTTGATGTGAACACACAGTGATATAAATAGAAAATAAAAACTAAAGCTGTAGCCAAATAAAGGAATTACTGATGCAAAACGTACTCTGCTTTGTACATTATAGGCATCGATTAATAACAGACTCAGATGCAATTTGCCAAAACACATAAAACAGCAAAATCAATCAAGGGAAATGGGTAAAGTTCTAATAGGCTTTATCATCAGTTGACATATAAGACATACTGTGCTTTTTCTAGGTCAAAAACAGTCAAATGTGGACAAAGTCCTATGTACCTAGGACTTTTATAATCATTATCGATAAATAAACCGGATGCTGTCTAGTCAATTCTGACTCAGGGTGACGTGGCGCCATGCATGCAGTAGAACTGTGCTAGGGTTTCAATTACTAATTGGGGACATGGGCAATAAATGCCTTTCTCTCAAGGTGTCTTCGGTTAAATTTGAACCTCCAAACTTTCAGTTAGCAGTTGAATGTGCTCATCTTTGCACAGCTTGGGGACTCTATTATACATTACTGTCTATAAATATTGACATGTGTACACATACAGATGAGTACATTATTGTTGAAAGGGGGCTTACTGTCTCCAGGCTGCCTGCATATATCTAACCTCTATATCACACATGCAATCATAGGTCTTCCAATGTTTCCTGAATTCAGAAAGAATTTAGACAACCTTATGCATGTTGCCCATGATAAAGGGATGAGATGGACAATGAGGACATTGTCTGAGACGACAACCCACTCTACAGCAACGTGTGTCTTCCTGAATTGCTTTTCCTTAGGAAAATGGAGGTTTTCAAGATTAAGCATTCAAGTTGGCAAAATATCTCAGGGGTAACAGAAAAGTAAAACTATCTCCTACAGGCAATATCATATAAGCACCATGTAAATAAAGTAGTCCTTTTTGACACTGATTATCCACCTGGCCTCAAGGCATTGTGGATATTAATAGGTAGTTTTTGAAACTTCTCTAAGAATATTTGGGCAACAAAATAATGGTGCAAGGCAACCTCCTTTTGCAAAGTACTACTTATCAGCAATTATCTAAAGCTTCACTGTTCTCCGTTTCAGAAAATTTCAGCCTCGGAAATTGTGACGTTTCCAGCAAGGAATAGTTACATTTGGATCAAGAAGAACCATTTTACTTGATTGAAACTTGACCAGCTGTATTTGGGAAGGAGATAGAAAAGGCTTCCCTTTGCCTCTGACCTTTATCCCCAACCTCTCCAGGGCCAGAAGGAGTGAAAATGCTGTTCCACTGAGTTCCATTTCCAAGAGGACATGGACTTGTTCATGTTCCTTTCCAAAAGTCCTGCCTCAAATCATTCCAGTGACACTTTATAGACATGCCCATTTCTTCCCACGTAGGAACCACACAAGTCACTCATTTGCTCTATTGCTTTTCAGGGGCTCTCGCTCTACGTGCCATGGAGCGAATGCCCGCAGTGTAGACAGCTTCTCCCACGTCTCCCAACAGCCATTGTTTCCTGGCATTTACGCCTGTTACCATTGGCTCAATTCCAACTCACAGTGATCCTGCACGGCACAGAGCAGAACTGCCCTTTGGGGTTCCCAAGGCTCAATCTCTATGGGAGCAGGAGGCCTCCTTTCATTCCCTGGGAGTGGCTCGTGCTTTCCAACTCCTGACCTTGTGGTGAGCTGCTCCAAGCAGAATCCACTTTGCCCCCAGGGCTCCCCTGATAGTCAGACCTTTGTTTAATCTATTTGCCTGATTATGGGCAGAGGGTCTGAGTGATGCGAATGGTTTGGGGCCTGAAGGTTGGTGGTTCAAATTGACACAGCAGCACTGTGGAAGCTGCTTCTAGGAGGATTACCCGCGAACATTTCCTCGCAGGCAGTTCCGCGGCAGGGCACATCTGGTCTTTGTGAAGCAGACGCAGTGCAATGGCAACAGGTTGTTGCTTTTTGTTTTGTTTTGAATTTGAATGTGGCTGAAACCTAATGACGCTCTTGCAATGGGGGAGGTAGGCAACAAAAGGACGCCACCTTTAAAGTGTGATTATAAAAATCCGTAACACCCATCTTGCTCTCTGACTTTTCTTCTGTGCTCATTCTGCTGGGAGCCAGCTGCTACCTGATGGGCTTTCTTCTGACATGGCCCTTAGTAAGGTGACCAGACATCCCGCTTTTGGTGGGACAATCCCGATGTTGAATAATTTTTCCCGCATCCTGCGGCGTTTTTAAAAAGTTCCCATTTTGTGGAAGAATGTACGACAAGCTAGGGTATACGGTTTTTGACTGCCATGTGGTTATTTCGCCAGGATATGAGTTTGATCAATGGTTTCCCGCTTTACCAATGTTACAATCTGGTCGCCTTACCCTTAGAGCACAGAACTGAGGATGGCTTAGACTAGATACCAGCAAAGATCCGAGGCCCTGAGTCACCAGGCTCCAAAGCCCGCCAACAACAGGGGAGTCAGGGTGCTGACACATCCTTTCGGGGTGAGATGCTGACGTGAGCCGCCCGGCTGCCTCCCGAGGGCAGCCTTGCGGGACAGTTGGTCTCAGCACACTCAGACCAGTAAACTTAACAACTGGTGGTTGTTCAGCCACCGAGAATGGGTATCGTTCGTTATGCTGCAGTGGATAACTAATGCACTCTCTTTCATACAAGAAGACCTACTTTAATTTCTGAAATTCTTCAACAAGGCTTGATTTCTGCCCAGGAGACATTCTTGCAAAAATGGTTCCATTCACCAGAATCTAGAGAGAGAGAAATACCAGCACAATAACATCAGGAAGATCACACTTTAAGTAAAAGAACAGCAAGGAGAAATCACCCCTGGTGACTGCTATAATATAGCATTGGGTGGTTTATCTGGAGGACAAATGTCAGGAAGAAGAAAGGATTTTAATGGTCTAATATTTAACTTTCACTCGAAGTCTTCCATCACGGCTCTATTACTTATTTCTATACCAAATATCCAAGATTGGGTAACCGCTAATTACCAATCATCATAATAAAAAGCAGCAGAACATATGGACTAAAAATGCCCAGAGAAACACAGGGCCTTTTACTAAATGCTGCCTGTGTAAGTGCAGAGACGCAGAGGAAAGAGCAGTAGGCAGCAAGTTGAGACAAGATTCTCTGCTCGGCTGTCTCAAGTAGCAAATGTTGAGCCGCATGCTCTGGGAACGTTGGCCTTCCCAATCTCTACAATGAGGGGCAGGGCTCAGAGCGGCCTGCTCGAAGCCTCTGGGTTCTAGAGTCTAAGATCCTTGATTTGCAAGACAACAGAATGTTCAAGACACGGCTAATAGATGGTTGCTACCCTCGGTTTGGCTCCACGTATCTTCTCCACTCTGACAGCACAACTCGTGACACCACTATTTTAAAAGAGGACACACAGAGGACAAGATAACGAGCGATTTTGAAAATAAGCCCTGAAGCCTTTGCTTCGTCCGCCTGTAATTTAGGAATTCAGACAGAAAGTCTGACATGAATTGGTAGCTTTGAGAGAGAAGCTGACTCACAGCAGGCAGCGGGTTGGGAGTGATCTGGAGGCTCTCTCTCCTTGGCAGGGAAGGGATAAAGGATGGAGGCCCTGATGGGGCTGAAACGGAGAAGAGGAGGCCACGGTGCAGGAGGTGCTCCAGGTTGGCCCGGGTGCTCCTGAAGAAGCAGAGTTCCCTGGGAGGGCCTTCTTGTCTACATCAAAGACAGGTTCACTGATCACGCCCCTCCTCCCCTTGTTGGGCTCACGAATTTGAGGGGCAAATCAAAACACTTCATTTCTCCAGAACTTACTTTTGGTAGCAAGGTGCAGAAATGCTGAAATAACACTTGGTAGGATTTCCCACTCATTGCAAAATGGTAACCGCTCCCTCCTTCCCCATCAGGTGCTGAGCTGTTTCCAATGTTGACGTAGCTTTCCTAGAATCAAAAGGGTGTTATTTCTACATGGGTTCTTAGTGCATGTTTCTGCTTTCCTATGTTTCACAGAAGAAAGAGCAACCATGTTACATAACAGTGTAAAAGGCCAGCAAATACATGCCCACTATTTCATTTGTTCATGGAACATTGGCTCACATAAAGAAGACACTAAAAATGTGTCCCTCCCCCAGGATAGGGTAATGTGATGCTTTGACACTGCTGTGTTCTGAACCCTGTGAGGGGAGATAATACACGTGACGAGCCGTGGTGGTGTAGTGGACTGCTAACCACAAGGTCGGCAGTTTGAAACCACCAGGAGAAAGAGGAGGGTTTCTATTCCCTTGGAGAATCACAGAGTCAGAACGGACAGTGAGTTGAGTTTGGCTGCTGGAAGTCGACTGAGGAGAAAATTCTACGGTCCCATCAGTGACTCCAAGGAAGAAAGGGAACGATTTTTCGTTCTTTTTCTCACACAAATTTCCATTTCCTAAGATCTCTTACCATTCATCCACAGATCCCGCACAAGTGTCTGTTACGGGAAGTAGACAGAGCTTTCTTTAGGACCCCATTCACGTTTCCATCTCCTTGCTCCTTCACTCGTGCACTCCAAGAGAGCTCACACTCTCCTTTGGTTCCCGGGTCCTCTTCCACACTCTACACCCTCTTTAGCCAGCGTGAACCCGTTTCCCAACCATCTTCCACTGGCCAGTGTATCCTCCTGCCAGCCTCCCAGCTGCAGGGAGGGAGAAAGGCCGGAGGAATGTGTATGCACCACCATGGCAGTAGCTGACCATGGTTTTTCCAGGCACCACTTCTCAGAGGCCTCTATATTTGTGAGGGTCTCTGAATTCAAATAATATGGAAGCTGAGATATTTGTATTCCTTAGAAAAACCACTCTTAGGGTAAACATTGTCTTTGCAAGGAGAAACATTTTGATGTGATAAATGAGGGAGCAAGTTAGGACACCCCTCCTACTCTCCCTACCTTTATGACTGGATCAATACCAGGTCGGCTTCTAGCACCAAGTGACCTTGAATCTCCACCACCCGTGCGGAGCTGACCAGAGCTGCCTGAGACAACTAGCAGCAAGTGGCCTTGAATCTCCCACACACACCTGTGGAGCTGACCAGAGCTGGCCAATGGCCCGCTTTATTCTCCACCTGCCGCTCTGCACCCGGCTCGTTTGGCTCAGTGCCCACTTTGCTCTCGACCCTCCACTCTGCACCCAGCATGGCCCGTTTGGCTCAGTGCCTGCCTTGTTCTCGCCCACCACTCTGCACCCAGCACGAATACACCCGGAACCAGGAAGACACCTTACATTCCAGAAACCCGGACATACCTGTCCATATATAAGCATCATCCCTGTAGCCCGCAGTGCGACTCCCCCAGCCCGGATGTTGTGGACTGTGGGACTTCACCCAGACTGGGTTTTTCTCTCCAATAAAGCCTGTTTGCTCTAATTCAGCTGGTTTGATTTCTGGCGCCTCTCGACTACCTTACACTACCCAATTTCAGAAAATCTAAAAAACCAAACTCACTGCCATTGAAGTCTGACTCATAGCAACTTGATAGGACAAGGTTGACCGCCTTTGTGGGCTTCCTAGACTGAAACTCTTTGCAGGAGTAGAAAGCCTTGCCTTTCTCCCATGGAGGGGCTGGGGGTTTCAAACCGCTGACCTTGCAGTTAGCAGACCAGCACATAACCACTAAGCCACCGGGACTGCTCCCCAGTTACAAAGAAACCGGGAAAAGACATACTTTAAAGCAGTGGTTCTCAACCTTCCTAAGGCCTCTACCCTTTCATACAGTTCCTCATGTTGTGGTGACCCTCCAAACCAAAAAATTATTTTGATTGCTACTTCATAACTGTAATTTTGCTACTGTTATGAATCAGGCGACCCCTGTGAAAGGGTCATTCGAACCCCAAAGGGGTTGCGACCCACAGGTTGAGAACCGCTGCGCTAAAGCATTCCATGTGAGACAAGGGCAGGACTTCCTTTGCTTTTACTAGCCAGGGAGGGGAGAGGAGGCTAGAGAGACAGACAGGGACCTGAGATGATGATGTAACTTCTCCCAGTGACCCAATAAACTTCAGAAAAGGTGTTAACGCATAAATGGTTAGATCCGTCGACCATTTGTTGAGATGAATGAAAGATCTGTTTCATTGGGCAGCAAAATCAAGACACCTTCTACTGTTGCAAAGACAAGTCTATCTGTAAGGAAGCAAGTGCCAGCGAGCTGCTGGAAATAGAGCGCATGATTATGTTCCAGGGTATATGCTTTTGAAGAATAAGTCAAGCCACCTTTTCCTAGGGCAGGGCCAAGGTCATTCTGTACAGTTGTGTAGTTTGTGTAATGCACACAAACACAGGGCTACAAAACCACTAACTCTCCACTTAGTCCGAAGTGCTCCTGATCAGCTTGAAGGAAGGGACACAATTTTAAATTTCCACCAAGGCAGCTTGAATGCTAGCTGGGGAGGTAGTGCATCAAAGAGCTGCCCTGTCTCAAAGGCACAGCAAGTTTGTTATCTGAGATGCCACGAAACCCATGTGTCAAGGGCAATCTAATCACCCTTGGATTTGAGTGGAATGAATCAGACCTGAGTGTGATTTTCTTGCTCTGAATCCCTCCAGCCTTGTGTCTTGGGTAAGCTCAATTTGTCTGAGCCTCCCTTTTCTCATTTGTAAAACGAAGAGTCTCTAAAAGCATCGGGTTTCTTACCTGCACATTGGAATCACAGGAGAAGTGGCTGGTGCTAGGCCGCCTCCCACCCTGAGATGCTGATGTCAAGAGTCTGGGCCCTGGGAGTCTTACACATTCCCCCTGATGATTTTAACATGCACACAGGATGAGACATGCTGCTGAAACTAGTTTTCAGGGACAATTCCGGACAGATGTGAGGATGGGCAAGATGCTTCTTGTGGTCATATGGAGGGCCGAGAGGCGGCCGTGTTCCTCCAGCCCAGGTCCACGATGGGGTCTCTGTAACATGCTCACCTTCTTCCCTGGTCCCTTCTCTTGGTTTTCTACCAGCTGCCAGGACACAGAGGCAGGTAAAGATCCTTCGGGCTCAGTTGCTTCAACTAGGATCACTTGGCTTCCTCGAGGAATCATCCCAGAATTCTTTGCAACAGTAATGGCTGTCTGAAGGTTATCACCTAGACCACAAAGAAAATTAGTTACCTTTATGTGTAACGCTCCTCCCTCTGAGTGTCCATAGCACTTGGTTTCGTACTATCTGGGGTACCATTTAACACTCTTGCCTAATACCAACTCCCCACTTATCGACCTGGGTAGGTTCCAAAGATCATATTGTTATACGGAATCAGTGCTATGCGAAAAAGGAGGATGACCACATTAGATCATGAACCACCAGATGCCAACATCATTGTACAAGTGACATATTGCATAATTACCTAACTGTCAAACCAGTGAGAATGCTGGCCCAGGTGCAACAACAAAGAACTGACCCATCACAGCCAGAGTTACTGGCCTCCCACCTCAGTGGCCATTACTGCCAGGCAAATGCTGTGAATGGGCAAAATGGTCAAATAGTAGATTTTTAACTATCATTGTCAATGTGAAAGGTTGGATAATGAGGCCATCCATAAGTGGAGAGTATGTGTCTTTTAGAACCCCGCTGGTATAGTGGATGGTACATTGGGCTGCTAACCACAAGTTCAACCGTTCAAAGCCTCCAGCGACTCTGAGGGGGAGAGATGAGACCTCTGCTCCCCTGGAGTTTACATCCTCCAAAATCCAAAGGGGCAGTTCTACCTGGCCCTGCAGCTACAGTTCACTGATGGCAGTGTGTTTAGCTTTGTGGTTTCCTTTTATCTTTGTCCTCACCGCAAAAACTGTATTTGCATCTCCCTTTGTCAATTCCATCTGTGGCATTGTATGCTGTCCATTGCGTGTTTCCAGAATAAGTCAGTAAGTACATATGAAAGGTTTTGTGACTAATTCTCAAGAGACAGACAACCCTTAGTGGTGAACATAATATGGTTCCCCTCTGCTAGTATAAAACCAGTCTCCTGATTCCAATTCAGCAGCAATAAGAACTTAGTGACAGGTCATGCTTGAGTCTGACAATCATATCTCATGTGTGGCCCCACTGGCCTGCGAAAAGTCAACCAGGTTCTCAGGCTTTTACCCTGAGGTCTCATTGGGACCTCTGATGAAAACATATCCGTGCTTATGCCTACCCATTTACCTAGGGACATTAGCTCTGTGCAGACACTGGGGTAGGAGAGTGGGCCTTCAGGAGAAAATGAGACAGGTCCTGCCTCTGAAGCCACAGGTGTGCCCAAGGGCAGTGTGCTACAGGTAAACAAACTCTATGGCAGAGCCTCTCCTCCTTCTGTTTTGGCCCCCAGAACTCACTTAGCTATTTCGGTACAATCTTGAGATTTCGGTCACAGTCCACTCAGCGTGTAGCAGCCGGCAGAGGTACCGACCTGTAATCATCACAGTCCTGATGTGGGCCTCGCTCAGTTCCTTCAAGACTGGTTTGGTTTCCTTTTTCAAACGGTTCTCCATGATCAGAAGTCCCAGGAATGTTAACTCAGACTCCACCTCTTCCCTGGGGTTCACGAGAAAATGGATATTAAAGTAGATCGATGCATTACGCTGGAGTCACGGGTCACAACCGCAGTTCAGACTCCGCTCCTTACTGAGAGATGGTCCGTTCAAATCCATCTACAGGTGCCTTGGAAGAAGAGCCCGGTGATGTGATCTGCACAGAGAGGTTCCCTGGGAGATGGAAATGACTCCATAGCACTGGGTTTGGGTTTTTGTTTGTTTGTTATCCAACAACCATGCTTTGGTTTTGTTTTGAAGAATTGTGTGTGGTTTTTATCAACATTCTACATGCCCATGTTTAAAACCTCAAAAGGAGCCCAAAGGCTTCAGGAAACAAAGCCCCAGTTGTCCTTGCTGGGAACAACATCCTTCCCTCCCTCCCAGAGGCAACAACATCCACATGTTGTAGCTGGGCTTCCGGTTTTCAATGCTTTAAAAAAAAACTTTTTTTAAAAAGGTGCTTCTCTTCCCACTCTTCTGGGGTTTAAATTTTTTTAGTTAAGCATATGTCTTTTGGATTATTTTATCAGCAGCCTTTTTTTGAAAGCTTGTAATCATTTAAGTAGATAACACATGTAATAAATGCATACTGCATACAAGACAGTATAGCAATTGTTGAATGTACAGTCATTCATTTGGGGCTCCATCTGTCACCCCCAGTAAATACAAGGAAGGTATCAGCCACCGCTTGGACGAGTGCTCGGAATTTGTCATTGGAGGTTAGAAGTCTAACTGGGTTACGTTACTACATTACCTCCTTCCTGCAGTGAAATGCAATCTCGGATGGCTTTTGGTGGGGGGGTTATCTGAGGACCAAGAGCTCTTGTTCACTCTCTCAGTGTCCACTCCATTTGCAGAGATGCAGGGAGAGGAAGAGGGAGGAGTGGGAGAACCAGGGATCCAATTGTGGTCCAGCCCTCTGTGTTCAACCCTGAGTCTCACACCTGCCTTCCGTGGACCTGGCCTGTGCAGGTCTTGACCTCTCCAGAGCCCAGCATGCGGAACCAGCCTTCCTCTTGACACGTGCACATCTGCCTGTGGTGCACGCTGTGGTGCTTCATTCCTGCCACCAGTGACCACTCCCCCAGCTGCTTTACAGCTTCCAGGAAGGTGCTGACATTGCTCATCTGCATGGTGACTCCTTTAGTCCCCTTGGGCAATGGTGCTTTACTTTTGCGTCAGTAGGATGGGGAGGGAAAGGAAACAGACACCTGGTCATCAAGCCTTCTTTAAAGGTGAGATCAGACTGGGCTTTCCTAATGGGAAACAGAATTCAAACATGAACGAAAGCACAGGTGTTAACGTGTGCTCACTCTCTGGAGGAGAGGGCAAGTTTCTGCACCATTCATCCCAAAGTCCTTTTACTAAGTAACGCTTTGAATTAGATATGACATAAGCACTTTGGTGAATGCTAAGCAGGTATTCATCCTGACTCTAGGGATTGCAGGGATAGGCTAAAACAGAACCCAGGTTAATACTGTGTAAGAGTTGAAATTCTGGGCTCTAGGTTTGTGGAAAGCTGCAGTGAGCGCTCTAAATTATTATTTTATTTTTAAGTTTTAGTTTGTATTTTGCTTTTAACTCACTACCCATTAGAAAACATATCTAAATATTATTTTACTCTAAGCAACTTCTAAATTCTGGTCTTTAACCTACGTGAAAATAGTAACACAATTCCAAGAAGCTTAATGGGCTCCTGGTAATCTCTGAGAAACCTGAGATGGTTAGAAATATAGCATATTTTATCCTCATTTAAAAAAAAAAAAGGTTGTGATGTTTAATCGAGAACAACACCACTACATTCATAGGTGACAGCCGGCTGGTGGCCAAGCTTTATCCCAACCATGTCACTCTTCACACACATGACCTCAAACTTGTGACTTGAAAAATTACAAACTCCTCTGACCTTTATAATTGCACTCAAGGGAACTTAAAGCCGTAAAGCCTTGAATTCTAAATCTGAGTATGCCACCAGTCATGTATTTCAAAAGGAGCCTCATGATTCTATATAGAAGATTCCACTCCTGTGGCTAAAAGGCCTCTTAGGGGTCATGTAATCCTACGTTTGGTAGATGGGAAGGGGCTCAGAGTGTGAAAGGGTGATCTGAGGGAGATGGGCGTGGGTTGCAAACAGTAATGTTGAATACCCAGGATATCAGGCTCTTACACTGGAGGGCTAATTATACATAAATGAGACCTCCTTATCACCCAAACAAAATCCAACAAAAATGAAACATAGATGACTTGCTATTCCATTTCCCACTGTAGTTATTTGTCTACTCCCTTGGTGTAGATAATTCAACAACTAAAATGAAAATCCTGAGAGATGTTAAGAGAAAAAAAGGAAGTATCCTCTACCGTGGAACATTCATCTCCCTACCATAATTAAGAATGCTGAATTTCATTTCAGATGAGGAACTCAATTTGTACCCATTACCTACACGGATAGGAAATAATGTCATTTTGAGTGCAGCGGTTTCTGGGAGTCCTTTAAAGGGCTACCTATCTCATGCCCATAACCCCCTTATGTGTGGGGATTTGTGTAAGTCACTCGTAAGATGTGAGGTTGAAGAAGGGTTTGGTTGGTTGGGGTGGGATAGGCGTGTGAACTGAGGTGAGCCAGGTGCTGTGCCAAACAGGTAAGCGGTACCTAGTCCACTCCCATCATGACTTGACCAAGGGCTCCCTGGTCTGAGACAACGCTCTGTGTCCGAGAGCCTCTCCCGTCATGCAAGCTGTTCATCCACAGGGTCTGTTGACTCTGTGCAGACAGACTGTCCTAGTGCCAATTCTTACCTGGTGACATTCACCACTTCTGAAAGCCTCCCCATCTTCAAGGCTTTATGGGCAAGGGCAATGACACGGAAACCTTGCATTGTGTAATTCCTCAGCTCTTGGGAGAAATGGTTGGGCACTGTAGAGACAGAGAGAAAGGGTAAATGCAAGCCCACACTGGATGGTTGCATGTTGTCCAGCTCTTTAGAAAGTTGCCAGACTACCATCTGGTTCCAACACAGGTAGGTCCCACTCTCTGCTGTTAAGGACAATGGGCTACTTCTCCCTAATAGTTTGTGGCCATCAGTCTGGTCCCTGTAGGTGGAGTTCACACCTTACTGTTAATGGTTCCTATAGAGAGCCAGAGAACAGGTCAAACCTGCTCAGTGCCATCCAGAGGTAGGCTGCCATTCTGAATTTAGGATCCGCCCATCCTGTCACATGTGTGGCCTCAATCCTTCCCCTTCCTATTGCATGTGTAACCCTAGATCATCCCCCTCCTATTACTGTATTACCTATAGCACTACCCTTTCCTGTGACGTATGTCTTCATTTGTAATTAGGGAGCTTGTATGTCCCCAGAGAATATATAAGCCTTGCTTAGCAATAAATCTCTCTCTCTCTCTCCTCTTGCTCGCTCCTCCTACCTCTCCCTGGGTCCTTGCTTCCCTGTTCCCTTTCCCCTTGACCTCCTTCCCCTCCCCCTCTCTCCTGCCCTCCAGTCTCCCATCTCCACATGGACCACCAAGTGGGGCTGAGGTGAGCATGCTACCATGAAATGTGTCTGACTCCATTATTTCAATCTCTCTTCTATCTTTCCTTACTTGCTATGACTTTATTATAATCTATATCTATCTATCTCTATGTATTTAACCATACAATTGTACCTATTGAGCCCACAGTTAGTTGTGGGTGGCTTGCCTTCCCCCACAGTCTTTTAACCTTCAGTCCACAACAGAGCGTTAATGGAGAAACTACAGATTTGCTCAAAGGTCGAATATACCCACCCCCCACGGTGCTCACTAACTGCCTGAGTATTTTCACACCTGTTTTCATACAGGTGTTTTCATACCTGTATGAATGAGGGAAGTTGCTGACCCTCCTGATCAGGATTGAAAAGCTACAACCCGTATGCCTAGTTCAGCCCAGTGCCTATTTCTGTAAGTAAAGTTTTATTGGCACACAGATTGATTGCTACTGTCCTGCTATAATGGTAATGTTGGGTAACTGAGACAGACACTGTGCGACCAGCAAAGTCTAAAATTCTTACTAGCTGGATCTTTAAAGAAGACATTTGTTACTTGCTTGCTTTAGGTGAGAGATAACTCAAATGTTGGCAATGTAGTCATGATTAATATTTAAAATCTGTAAAACCTTTATGCTCTATGCTATGTCTCTAGGCGAAGGAGGAGGAAGCTTGGTTAATGGAAGGTCCAGTGGTTTAGGTATCAAAACACCTGAGTTCTAGGGTCTACCCTCCTGTCAACTAGCTCTCTGACCTTGGGCTTGTGAAGTCTTTCTCAGGATCTCATTTTCCCACTCACAACTACAGGGGGATAACAGATCAGGATGTCCCCAGTCAGCTTGTGGTGGCTGCTTTTGTTTGTTGCCGTCAGTTCGATTCTGACCCCTGCTGACGCCAAGTGTACAGGGTAGAACTGCTCCGGACGGGTTTCTTGGCTGTGACCTTTTGGAAAACGATTGCCAGCATGCTTCCTGAGGTACATCTGGTTGAATTCGAGCTGCCAACCTTCCGGCTAGTAGTTGAGCCACGCAGTTTAGGTTTTTTATAATTCTAAAGCAATCCTGGAGATGGCATCTAATTTCAAGAAGCTCCTACCTCTCTCTTTCTTTTCTTTTTTCCTTTTTAACGTTTTGTTGTGAATTGGACAAAGGTTGACAGAGCAGAAGGTCAGTTTTACTTTCAATGATTCACACGTATTCCCTTTCATCGCATTTATTGCAGTCGCTCCAGGTCACATCGCCCAACCTGCCGCCTGCCTGTGTGTGCCATTTCCGTTCCCCCTGCCTTCCTGCCTAACCCCTCTGAGTTCCGGCCTTTGGTCAATGCTGCCACCTTGACCTCAGAGTATTCTCAAGTGTGTACACCTCAACACTGCTCTTATCCCTCTTGTAGCTCTGCCTCTTGTTTGGCTGAAAATTGAGTCCAGCACTATATTTCTTAAATTCAGGAGAGAAAATAAAGCAACTGAAAAATGATAGTACTGCTAAGAATCAGAGGTTATGATGATAGAAATCACTGGAAGGGCTGCCCGGAGAATATGAAGGCGATAAACGACAAATCCAAATCCTTACTGATAGAACAAGAGCAATAAAAACCACTTAAAATGTTAAGAAGATAATAATTTGTCTCTGTATAAGAAGCGAGGCAGCAAGCAAGCGAGCATGGGTTTGGGTAGGAATCGAGTTAGAAGAATCCGAGGGAAAACCAGAGCAAACAGTCCTTCCAAAGGTACAGAAAGACACCGAGTGGGGACAAGGTGATGCAATCATTCGCCACTTCTAAAATTCTGTGCACACGTTGACTGCTATCAGCAATCCTAAGAAGAATATTGATGAAAATCAAGATAAAAAAGGCTGATTTTATCCAAATGAACTCATTTGAATGCAACAATATTCTTATAAATCTAGGCTGTTGCTTAAAGAGTGCATACATTTCTAAGACTAAGAAACAATACAAATCAGCTCAAAATCTGGCCCAGTGAAATGAAATTACTGTGAAAATTTTCAATTACCTTGCTTTCATAACGTCTCAGTTACTCTAATCATATTTTTCCCCTAGAAGATTGATCGGTTCTATATTCTCATCCCTTCAATCTGTCTGAACCCCTGTCTGTGGAGCCAGCCCCGTGAGGGTGAAGAAGCACCCCTCTTTACAGTAATCTAGTGCTTCCTTGGTTCGGTCTGAGCGCTGCACACTCTCGGCTCCTGGTAGTCTGACCCCCGTGAGTCCCCCCCCCCACCCCCCGAGTCCACTCCTGATGCTCGCTTCCCATCTCCTTCCCCAGCTCCCCATGGGTCATGGGTCTTTGGCTGGGCCATGTCTCCATATAGACTCCCAGCCATGAAAGGATCCCTCCGCCTTGCTGGATCAGCCGATCCTCTTTCTATCCACCCATAAAATGATCATCCCACATTCATTGATTTGGGTTTGTTTTCTTTCTGTGTTCAACCTTTTAAATGCTTTGCCCCCTAACTGGGCTGCCCACATAACAACATCTGTTATGAAGCCATAAGAGCTAGATGGGTCTGGCTAACAAACTAAACATTTTGACCAAAGGTTCTAGAGCAGACTCCTGATCAAAAGGGGAACTTTTTTAAACCAGAATCTCAAAATCTCATGGGATTCACTTTCTGGAGCCAATGAGACTAGATGACACCCACAAAATGATCACCCCCAGGTAATATCTAATCCCTAAACTCAAAGTCATCTTAAAAAAGCTATGTATGTATACATACACACACATACATGTATATGCCGGTGGTTTACAGGGATCATATATGTTAATATATATAATTATATGTATTAGTGGCTTTCAGGGATTCTGAAAAAGGCAAAGAGAAATGAGTAGGTGGAGCACAAGAGATGTTTCGGGAAGCAGGACTCTTCTGCATGAAGCTGTAGCAGTGGACACATGGTCTATTGTAAGTACATGTCATTATACATTGGTCAAAACTCATAGACCACACAGAGAGTAAGCCTACTATGAACGACAGCCTTTCATCAATCATAATGTATCTTATGAGCTTTATTTAATGATCATATACTGACATGGTTCAGCAACTGTAACAAATATACCATACAAGCTGTTCATGGCAGAAGGAACTGTGTGTGTGTGTGTGTGTGTGTGTGTCTGTGGTGGGCGAAAGGGGCAGGAGGGGATATAGGGGCATTTCTGGTACTTTTGGTGTAATCTTTTTATAAACCTAAAACTGCTCTAGAAAAATAGTTCTGGGCGTTGTAAGGGTTTCATGTCCTAGCCGAGCAAACTGTCAGTACCTGTTTCAGATCTGCAGAAGGTGGCCACCATCTCCGGGGCACCCTTCATGTAGGCATGGAAGCCGTCTTCCCCAGCCAGCCGGGCGACCACAGACATCCTCTGCAGGCTCGAGGAAAACGGAAACTGGAGCAGGATGCGGAGTGACTCCACGGGACTCTGCGAGCAGCCGACACAGGGGCACCTTTAGAGGCTTTTCAGGGAGACGTAGCAAGTGCACCCCCAACAAATATGAGCTACTCTGTGAATAGATATCATCCCGAGGGACCCCAGGCAGGATGAAATGGCAATTCCTCTTTTACTGACTCTACGGTGACTTCTTCACCAAGCTGCTTGGGCTGCCAGGCCTTCCACCTGGCTGACTGGAGAGCTTTTGTCACATGGTCCCCAAAACAGTCTTCACCCCCTCCTTGGGACTCTGATGGCTATCTCCACTCCTTATTATGGCACTTAGCATGGTGCGTTGCACTTATTTGCACAAGATTAAATCAAGATTAAAATCTTGATTTTCTACAAGATTAAATGCACCTTCAGTCCCAAGTCTAACATATGTCATTTTTAAATCTCCCCACCTTCTAAAACAGCGTGGTTCTTTAACACATATCGATACTCATTGAGTGGGTGTCAAATGAATTAATGGATGAATAAAGGGCTGGGAGAATGGGTAAAAAACCCCACAAAACCCTATGACAATAGGAACAATTTCTGTTGTTACTTGCGATTGAATCAATTCAACTCATGGTGACCCCGTATATTACAGAGAAGAGCTGCTACAAAGGGTTAACGTTCAATGTTTAACCCACAGCACCACCAGGCTTCCTGCCGGGGACAGGAATATAAGAACGCAACTATATGAATATCAGGAAAGTCTCACAAGTTTTAAGGGCAACACACGACAGGAGTTACAGAAACAAACCGTACCTGGCTGGCTCTTGGCCCTGGCTTTATTACTACGCCTGAATCCGGCATCCCCACTGTGCGGTTGTCTGCACTGCCATCTTCCATGTTCTGTTTTAAAAGGAAAACATTCATAAGCTCCCTGGGAGAAACGAAATAAAGAAACATCTCTGACTTGCATAGCACTTTAATCTTTTCAAAGTTCTTCCCATTTATTTTCTCTTTTAGATGAATTGTCTTAACCCCGTTGTCCAATTTCTGTTGTGCTGGCTTCCATTAAGGAGCTTTGTATCGAGTTTCAAAAAGCCAGGAATATTGTAAACACAATAAGGAGTAACTGATGGCAAAGTGCTGGCAACAGGTCAAAGGCTCTTCTTAAGTGTTCGGTCTACTTATTGGAGGAGGGTTGAAAGGAGATTGCCTCTTCAATAGAATGGGCACTTTTACTCTCACCTGAGCTAGGAAGCTGTCTGAGATACGCCTTGGGCTCCTTTGCCAGGTTACATAAAGAATTAGCAGTTTATCTGTCATAGGTAAGAAAATACTTTGGATGTCCCCACAGGAGTAATGATGCCTTCTGACGAGCCAGTATTAATAATAATTTTTTTAAAAGGGTAAGGTATTGGATACACCAATAGCTATTGCTATTTTTAGGAGCCATCGAGTTGGTTTCAACCTACAGTGACCCTACAACCAATCGAAGGAAATGTCGCCTAGCTCTGCACCGTCCACGCCATCGTGGCTCCAGTCCTTGTTACAGCCTCTTTCGTAGCTGACCCTCACTTTACCAGGCACGGCGTCCTTCTCCAAACAGGGGTCCACCCATAGAGCACGTCCTAATTACATAACCTGATGTCACTCTATCCTGCCTTCTAAGGAGCCATGTGCTGCTTTCAAGACAGAGTTGTGTGTTGTTCTGGTCACCTTTGTTAGAGTCAGGGTTCCTTGCGAACACCAGGCCTATCAGACTACTGCTAAAACAATGGCTTTGTTCAGGCACTCCTGAGCTCTCAAAAGAACCTCTTCCAGTTTTAAAACTTCAAAGAGCTCTTTTGCAGTAGATTTGCCAACGCACTATAACCTTTGATTTCTTTACTGCTGCTGCCATGGGTTTCAATGGTGGATCCAAGCAACACAAGTCTGTTGGCAACTTCAATGTTTTCTTCATTTACCACGATGTGCATTAGGATGTTGCTTATGGGCCCAGTTGCAAGGAAATAAAGTGTTGCTATGCTGAGGTATAATCCATATTGAAAGATGGAGTCTATGTTAATATAAACTGTGAGGCAGATGTTTTGGATGTACAGAAATAGGAGATAGCATCTAATCTCTGATCTATTATGTAATCATTTAATTTTAGAATGTCATATCATGTCTCCAAATCTCAATGTCTTTTAAAAAAACATTTTGATAACATTTCTAATACTAAAATTCTTAGTGTCTAGGATATTCCCCTATCCTGATATGTTTCCTAGAAGCCTTCTAATTACCAAAATATATTCAACTCGAGACTGCTCCTAACCCAGCTTTAGTGTGCGTCTTGAATGTCTTAAACACGGAATAATCTTGCATTTGGATGCTTTGTTTGGCAAGACACAATTGTCTTTCCAGGTCGTTCCTCACCACAAACACTCAAAATGGATGTTCCCAGACAAGGTTCCAACTTGTATGTCAGTCGTATTCTTCTGTGGTGGCGTTTCTCTAACACCACGAGGTCCAGATCAAAGTGACATGTAGTTACCATGACTCAATGCGACTCATCGTTGTATGTCAGCATACCAGTCCTTCTCCATTAAGGTCCAGGGAACGGTTTACAGTCTTATCTTTCTATCAGAGTTTTTCCCTCTGGGGAAATTACTCAATTTTAGCTCACTGATATCAGAAATTCCCTGGATCATCAGATTTCCCCTTTTTATTGTTTTGGCTTCTCCCAGAAACCAAACCAAATTCACTGTCACAAATTCAATTCTGATTCCTAGCAACCTTATGGGACAAAGTGGAACTGCCCCTGTGGGATTCTGCGACCATGACTCTTTCCAGGAGTAGAAAACCTTATCTTTCTCTCCAGAGCAGCTGGTAGCTTTGAACTGCTGGTCTTATGGGTGGCAACCCAACACATCACTAAACCAAAATTCTCTAACATAGTTTTATTTTATTTATTTTATATTTATTTTATTTTAGGTTCATTTCAAAGTGCTTGCAATCATATCTTTCCATTCTTTTGCATCTGTTTTAAAGACTCTACTGTATTCCGTGTAGCTTTAGAAACTTTGAAGAGGGTGTTATTGCTGTGTGTAGTCAAATCCACTTGAACTTATAGAGTAGCACTATCCCATAGGATGTATTTCCTAGTTGGGCTACCAATTGCAAGACCAACAGTTCAAACCCACCAGCTGCTCCACAGGAGAAAGACGATGCTGACGGCTCCCCTAGAGATCACAGTCTAGATAGGGTGGCTATAAGTCAGAGTCAACTCCACAGCAGTGAGAACTTTTTATTGAAACAGACAAGTCTTTACTTGTGGTTCAAACTGCTGGCCTTTGGTTCACGGCCAAGTGCTTATCCATTGGATCAGCAGGGCTCTTTGACTGATTGATTGATTGATTGATTGATTGATTGAGTCCCTTCAATTGTTTGGCACTTCTTAATGCTTATAGCACATGGTCTCAGGGGTCACCCCAACTTCTTGTTTGAAGCATTATTCCCCCAAAGGCCCTGAGGAGATAACATACTCAGCATCGTGGTACTGGATTTGGAGTCACTCAGCTAGAGAATGGTGCAGTTCAGAAATCTTCCTTACATGTCGCGACATCACCAGGGTAGGTTTCTACCCTTCTATTATCATTCCCTCTCAGCGCAGCACGTTGCACCAGTCAGATCTGCAGTTCCTCCTTTGGTGTCTCGACTCATGCTTTCCCACACAATAACCATAAGTAGCTTGTAGCTATTTAGATTCAAATTTAATTAACATTTAAACTTCACTTCTCAGTCCCATAGCCACATGTCAGCGTTCAATCGTCACTCGTAACGAGTACCCGCCTTCTCGGCCAGCCCAGAGGCACCATCCCCGTCACCCAGGAAGTTCCACTGGACCTTGCTGCTCTAGACCTACCCTTTGACATATGGTTCACATATCATACAATTCAATCACTCGAAACCTTGAGAACAAGCCACACAGCTATTGACTGATCCACAGAGGTGGAGCTGGGGGACTTTAGGTTGGGGGTTACTTAATTTGAAGACTTGTATTTGCTGACCCACAGAGTTTGAGCTGAATTCGCTCAGGCATTTATTAGCAGCCCTGAAAGAACTTTGTAGCATGCCCTGACTGAACAACTGAACATTTCTTACCTACATTATAACCTCTTAACTTCCACAATAAGCCTTATAATCACAAGCATTGACTGGGTGTGGACATTACAGTGATTTACACTGTAATGTAGACAACAATGCTGTCTGTCCATAAGATTGTGTGGGTAGGTTGGTTAAGGGCAGCATACAGTACTTCTCTCTGAATTATTCACAGTGCACCACAGCATAGTAAAGACATCCTACAGTTGAGAAATTGATTTGACATTGTTTAAATAGCAGTTCCCAAATTTATTAGCTGTGATGAACCCCATTTTACGTTGTACTCATTAACAGAGGTGGGGAGATTCTGGCCGACCAGACCTCCTCAGTCAAGCAGTCTTCTCAGCTCTCTGGATTTTCACCTGGGTTGGAAAGATGCTAGTGCTCCCAGTAAGGATTTAAGGACTCCTCCCCCACCCCCCACCCCGCACCCCAAGTGTTTCCCATCGAAAGACAGCAAGAAATGGTCACCTTACCCAATTGGTGCCTTCAAACATTTTGAGGTCCAGCGGGTCTCCCTGGACGGTCCCATCCAGAAGGATCAGAGAGTGACAGCTGGCCATGGCGGCGCACAGGGGGCCCCAGGGCAAAGGTGAGCCTGAGGCAAAGCTGTGGACTTCTTGGAAACTGAGAGAGAAGATAATTAATCATTTAAGGTCATCAATACACTCATTCTGAATGTTTTTGCCCTTCAAATCTTAGTGAGGTAGAGTTTTAGTCATGAAACCACTATATTCGCCCTTCTATGGCTTCCCACCCCACTTCTAACTTAACCTTTATAGCTTTGACTCCCATCAAGGACCTTTATGCTCAGGCATCTAGCTTCAAATTAAACCACTTGCTATTTCGATATGTGTCCAGGAACACCCCTTTCCTGGAGCCTTTGCTACCTCATTTTCTAACTAGAATATGCTACCTGGAGAATGATCCTTACAAAACCTGCGATTGAATTGATAGGCAGATTTCATTCCTAACAAAGATTGCCACTAACAAATCAATAATACAACAGCAAAGGTCTTGGATGGGATCACAAAGCATTTCATCGGGTTATTTGCAGGCAGCCCATATAATGGCCACATGGTGAGCAGCCAGCTCCCAGCTGCTATCTGCAAAGCTGAAAGAGCTGGGCTCTAAAAAGGCACATACCCTGCGAAAGCAGTCTGTCTCTAGGCTAATGAGGTGGAAGGGATGGGAAAGCCCCAGCCTAGCTCATCTGGTCAGGTCTGTCAGGTCAAGTAAAGGCAGCCACAGCCTCCAAGACAGCCCTCTGGGGTTCATTCTCACCTGCTGCACTTCCTGGTGCAGACATGCTGCCTGTCAGAGCTGTTTCCCTCTTTGACAGTACAGACTCAGACTAGGTGGATTTACCTTCCTCTCCTCCCACCTTACAGCACAATAGGAAGGGTGCCTGGTTCTTTCTAGACTCAAAGAAACTTCAAAGCTGCAATCTCTGCAAAATGCATTTAAAAAATTAAGTTTCAGAGTGCAAGGAGCCCGGTGACAGGATGGGCAGGTACTTAGCTGCCAGCCAGAAAGCTGGTGGTTAGAACCTACCCCGCTGCTCCATGGGACACAGACCCGGTGAGGTAGCTGCCAAGTCAGGCAGTTCTACTAACTGCACGGGGCCACGAGGGGGAGAACTGGACTCCATTGGTCCGACAGCAACAGGGCCAGTGGAAAGGGGAGGGTGGAAACTGCAGCCATCGTTTTCCTCTTGCTCTGTTCTGGCCAACCAAGTCCCTATCGCTGCTGACCGCAGGGCCTCTGGGCAGACAGGAGCAGACACACAGTGAGAGGGCCGAGTGGCCTGCCCAGTCTCTTCTCTGTGCAGACACTGCCAGGGCTGCGCTGGCCCTCTCACCATGTCCAGACTGACACACAGCAGCCTCTCAGTTACTGTTTGGAGCCAAAGGACAGTCTCACGGCCACTGAGTGGTAGCACCGACTGTGGGGCGGCAAACCTTTAACGGGAGCAAAAAACTCACATTTCCCACCCCCCCGCCCCCCACTCTGTGGCTGCTGAATTTGGTGAAGGGTGTGGTGCCCTTCACCAGACCACCAGAGTGCCTTCTATTTGACTCCTAAGGCAGGTATCTGCTCCACCAGGGAGGGAGTAGAGTGCCCTTCTCCAACTGCCCTGGGCAGAACAGCACAGATTGTCCCCTCCCCTGACCCTGTGTCAGTTTTGCATATCAGACAGAGCCTGTAAAAATATTTACAGGCTATACAAATTTTAGCTAGATCGCCTTCCAAACTTTGCTCAGATGATCTGCTCACTTGACTCACCATGGCATTATGAGAATCAGCACTGTGTATTAGACCGCAACATCATGCTCATTCCTTCCCTGCACTGTGTTGCCCTGAAGGTGGGTGCATTTGCATCTAGACGGTGAGCTTCTTTCTTTTCTGGGCCCCCTGCCTCCATACCTGCCTGCAATGCCCAGCCCCCCTCCCCAGGAAGTTTTCCCTGTTTTGAATTAAAACCAGCCCTTCCCTTACACCTCTGTTCCACTTAATCACCTTGCTAAGCATCCACCTCATTTGATTCTACTTTTCCTTAGAAGTTTGAAGACCTACTTTCCCTAATCTGATCTGAATTTAGGACTCATTTAATTAGTTAGAATACCTGGGAGCCAATGTCAGCCCACATATGCATACTTTATGTGACTTTGGTCTCTTAGCACATAAAGGACAGATTTGAGGATCAAGTCACAGGGAAGCCCAGCAAATACACACTGTCTTGTCTTGAAGGAACCTACCAGTTGCCGGCCGAAGGAACTACTCCCCACAGGTCCAAACCATCTTCCGTAAGAGTACCAGTCTGAATAAAAATGAGACTGGAGATTAGCACAAGTATTAAAGCTCTGAATGACATTGAGATTGCAACATACATTCCTGCTTCCAGGAAATTACAGTGGATTCCGTTGCTCAATGCCCTCTTCTCTGAGCATTCCCTTTTAAATCAGAGAAGAGTGTGCACAAGAAGAGATCCAGCAGGGGACACATTAGCCACGGAAAGGACTGTGCTGCTCAGTAAGCGAGTAGGACCAGGCAAGGCATGGGTTTGGTTTGGTTTCTGCATATTTATTGTTGTTGCTGAACGAGGAAGGTGCAGTGAATGGAGACCCAGCAAGTACCATCTCGAGTGTGACATTTTAGTTCGCACCTGCTGTCTTTCTAAAGCAGGTCTTGTGACTTCTCTCCCCCAACCGCGGCCCCCACCCCATCCTTTCTTTCTTTTTAAGACGGTTTCATTCACAGCTTGCCATCTGGTTCACAGTAATTTTCTAAAAATATGGGTGACATGGTGACTGTCCAGATTGATAATTAAATGTTGATAGAGGGCTCAGAGTCTATAGAGAGATTCTAAGTGCTAATAATAAATATTCATTAATGCCCATGAATGAGTTTTATTGTTAGATGATGAGGACAATGGCTGGTGGATTTGATTTGCTGTATTATGAGAGCGTATTGTCAGCTCGTGGAACAGAGAGAGCAAACTGCAACTGAGTATGGTCACAGCACTTTGAACATCCTCATGGCCTCACAGTTGTTCATTAATTACACAGCCTGGTATCTTTCTGCAGTAGGTTAACAACATTAGGGCTATTTAACATCAACTCAGAGGAGGCTGAGTTTGACTCTCAGCTGTTTAACACCATCAAGGCTAACCAGGGGACTGTGATGGTCTATAGAATGTTCCATTTCAACACATATGCCTCAGGTCTGTGCTTTTCTTCAGTCCTTTCTGTAGAAGACACTACAATTTCTAGTATTCTATTCAGTGACATTTTCCACCACGGTCGCGGCATCATGCTTAGTCGTTGGGCTGCAGAGGGAAAGATCAGCAGTTGGCAGCCACCAGCTGCTCTGCGGGAGTAAGAAGAGGCTCTCTACTCCAGGAAAGAGTACACTCTCCGAAACCCGCAGGGGCACTTCTACCCCGTCCTATGAGTCAGCCTCAACTCCGTGGGTGGCAGTTTCTAGCACTTTGCATTAGCAGGAAGCATCTAGAGTAGTGTTGGTGAATGCTTTTGATCTTTACAGTGGAATAAACCTGGAGGAGGCATGCCCAGCCAGCGGTGAGATAGCAGTGTGAGAGGGCACAGCACAGAGTCCCTGAGAGGTGCCAATGGTGAACTGGGCTCAGCTACTGACCAGAAGATCGGAGGGGCCACTCAGAGGGGCCTTGGGAGGAAGGCCTGGGGATCTGATACTTCTGGAAAACCAGCCATTGAATATGCTACCGGTGGGGTTCTTTCTGCTCTGAAACGCATGGGATCACGAGTCAGCCCAACTTGATGGCAATCGTCTTCCGGAGTCTCCCTCCGGACTGGAAGTATTTAGTGAGTTCTGCAAGGCATGTGGGAAACAGAGCCTACGCTAGGGGCTCTCTGGATCTGAGAATTCAGGAATCATTGTTTCATCAATTCGTTCAGACTTCACAGAGGGCTGACATGCTTATGAACAACAATGCAAGAGGATCGGGTTCATTTCCCTCCTGCATTCATTTCATGAGGCCTCCATCCTCTGGGTTTCAACTCCAAATCCCCATTGAGTTGTTCAATTTCAAAGAGTTACCAATTTAGCGCACACAGAAATGTTTTCTTGATAATCAGATTATTTTTAAATATCAATATTTTTTAACATAAAAACAGAGAGGATACCAAAGCAAAACAGGAGTGGAACGATGTTCTTTCCCTACGTGAAAATGACTCTCAGACTACTAGCCTAATCATAAATAGGAAAAAAACAGAATTATGCCTGAGGTTCTGAGGGGAATAAGATAGGAAGAGAAAATGTAACAAAATACAAGTGCAGGCTTGGGTTGAATTGCATAGGAAAGAAGAGGCCTTATTTTATAGAGCTTGATAGCAAAAAATATATAAACTAGAAAAAATATACAGGGAAAAATGCATTCAGAAGCCATCTGAATTGGACCCCAAAAACCTAAAAGAAATTCAATGAGTTGTGGAGAGCTTTATTCCAACATCATGTTGATGGAACTGGATCATGTAATAGTTGGAAAGAAGCTGAAGAAATCATTCTGGTTCACTCTTCTGATGTTAAAATGTGTCACAGAAAGTGAGCATCAAATCCAGGATTAGAGTTCCCATTTGGCCAATTCTGAGAAATGAGGGTTCGTGGAAGTCACCCATGCTGTTAGGCCATTAAGAGTTGGGTCCAGTGGGCCTCCAC